CCCCTAGATTTTTTTCCTTTGAACTGGAGAAAGGGCAAATCTAGGATCCCAAACTTGTCACTCCATTATTATGCAAAATTCCAGGTCCAGCCCAAGAAATCTTACACCGGAATGATGACGTTGGCAAGCATTGCTGCATTACTGGGGCACCAAGGACACCACGATGCTTTCCAAGACATTGCAACACATATCTCCAGCTTCTTAGGACCCTCTCCGTGCCTATCTCTCAGCCAAGCGTGTTCTTTCGGCTCCGCCAAGCTCCAGGACTGGATCTGGGAGCCGAGCTGCACATCTGCAGCCAATCGGCCTTCGACATGGTCTCTCCACAATTATCTGCGCTCCGATCCACACTATCATCGGGACCAGTTTATCAGATCCATGATAGATGCTGTGCGCTGTAACGATTTAGGCATGATCAAGTGGCTGTTCTCTCATTTTTCGGGTCTTGAAGTACCTGCAGGTGTAGTAAATTTTGCTGCCAATAAAGGAAGACTACCCATACTACAGTTTTTCCTGGCAAACGATGCTGGCCGTGATGGAATGGATGGAGATTTTGTGTATTGCTGTCATAAGCTTGTTGGATCGAGTTATGCTCTCTGCTACTTATGCTCGATTGCCCTGCTCGTGGTTAGATTGAAGGGCAGTCTACGAATGCCGCGGACTGATCGGTGGACTTGACCTTGCAGAAGCGGCACACGTCGTCAATACAGCCCACGCCTCCGTTCGCGCACGACGTGTCCGTGAAGATACTGATACCGACGCTGGCATCGCCTTCCGACACCACCTGAGTGCACGCTCCAGAGGTTGAGGCAGTAATGGTGGGAGTCTCAGTGGGGGCGTCCGTCGGAGCCTCCGTAGGAGCGTCGGTCGGGGCTTCCGTGGCGATGACAGCACCAGTTGAGTACCCGGCGATGGATGTGCAGTCCGGATAAGTCGTCGACTGAGGCGTGTCGAGGGTCTTGCAAAAGCGACATACAGTATCGATGCAGCCCAGGCCACCATTTACACAGGTAACGTCCGTGACAATGTTGATTCCGACAGATGCGTCACCCGGCGAGACTACCTGGGTGCACACTGGTTGATCCGATGGAGACTTCGTTGGCGCTTCAGTCGGAGCCTCGGTAGTGATGGTAATGACAGTGGGGGTTTTGGTTGATGCGTCGGCATCAACGATCATACCGCAGTCCGTGAAAGCAGCCGACTGCTGGGTGTACACCAGTCTGCAGTAGCGGCACACGTCGCTGATGCAACCGATGCCACCAGTGGCGCACGAGGTGTCCGTGACAATAACGATACCAACCTTGATATCTCCCAACGCTGCAACTTGTAGGCACGTACCATCAGCGGATGGTGCCTCCGTTGGAAGTTCGATCGGTGTCTCGGTGGGAGCTTCTGTTGGAGGTTGTGTGCTGGGTTGTGCGACGGTAGCACCGGCAATCGTGCTGCAGTCCGTGAAAGCGGCCGACTGCACAGTAGTGGTCGCTCTACAGAAACGACACGCGTCGTCAATGCACCCAACGCCACCACTCGAACATGAAGCGTCCGATACGATCTTGATCCCGACCGCAGCGTCACCCTCGGACACCACAAGCGAACAGGCCCCATCGGTAGTCGCAGCAAGAGTTGGTGCTGGAGTAGTCGGTGTACCGTCGGTAATGATTGTAGTCGCATTGAAGTCATTGCATCCGAGGAACGCAGTCGATTCCGGTGTCTCCTTCACTTTGCAGAATCGACAGTGATCACTGAAGCATCCGAGACCTCCGTACAAGCAATCCGCGTCGACAGCCGCGGCGATACCGACGGCAGCATCGCCATCCGAGATTCCGCACGGACCGGCAGTGGCTGTCAGCGGCGCCATGTTCGGGAAGTTGGCTCCGAACGCGGCACAGCTCTCGAATTGTGTCGACTTGCGGGTGTCAAGGAGTTTGCAGTAGCGGCAGTGGTCATTGTAGCAACCGAGACCGCCGTTGAGGCAGCCGGAGTCGTTGACAACGCGGATACCGAAGCTCTTGTCACCATCCGAGACTTCACATTCGGCGGTTGTCCCCTGAGCGGTGAAGAGAGGTAAACTCAGGCAACACAGGGCAATGACCTTAATGTAGGCCCGAGTGGAAGCGCTGCGAGAGTACACCATGATTATAGAAGTTGGAGAGGGTGGCGAGAGCTTGGCAAAAGGTTGCTAACTCTAAGTGTCCAAGTGATGTCGACGTTGCAGTTTGAAAAATGAGTTGCGGTCTGTCCGAAGAAAGACTGGTAGGTCGTTGCAACACACAAGTCCTTGTACTAGTACACGCTGACAATATCGACTTTACCAAGAATGTACTACAGTAAACTTCAAGTTCATTAGTATATTTTTGATTGTCGCCTCATCCCAACATGCCCACAGTTTCAAAAATAAACGCATATCATGGATCACTTGTATTCATATTTATAGGTCCTTTTGGTCAACAATAGCTCAGCGAATCTTCGCAGACCACTCCGATTAATGTTGTGCTGTATTGCCGTTGCCCAGAACCGACCATTTATGCATCCGTTCCTATAGACTGACAAAAATAACAAACATTTGCTTTTCTTTAACGAAAATGTTTATTGTTTAGGAAAGCGGTGTTGCGTTGCGGTATTCTTGTTTGTGTTTGTGAGATGGCGGCTCCGGACGAGGAAACGGGCGAGAACGGGCGATGCAGCGACTGTGAGAACGCATCTAGCTGGACCCGTGGCTACAGTCGACACATAAGCCAGCGCAAATGTGCCCGCGTCTGGATCAATCTTGGTCAGATCAACGATGGGCACACGCTTCGCTAATGCTTGTAGATCCACACCCTGCTGGATAGCCACGTACGATCCCGCTAATGTCGTCACAAAGACGGCCGAGTGGAAGATGAACGCAGTCCGCCCGTAGCGCTTGAAGACATGCTTGATGTGAGAAGTCATGACTCTCAAGAAACCTCTTTGTTCGATGCAAAATCTACACTGAAGGAATTGATACGTAGTCGGATGAAAATAGGAGATCAAAAAAACATTTTTTTTTGAGACAGCTACATAGTGGGTTAGTCGGATGGGTGACTAAAAGGTTGGCGTCGCATACACATCCGAGGGGCAAGATTTCAATTCTGTGTCGTTTGCATTTAGCGTGCATGAATCACACGGCCTGAGAAAAGCATTAAATGACTTCGCTGCAAAGTGAACTGCTTGATTCTCCCCTTTGTGCTGGCGATCATCGTTAGTCAGTAGAAATTGCAAGTGGAAGGCATCTTGAGCTATTTAATAGCAACATTGACAGCATCATCAAGCACATCAAAAACCCGAGACACAGCTCGCAAGTGGTGGGTTTAAGATTGCTCACGTAGTACCTACCCATTTCGTCGTCACCCAACCTTTTAAAGTGGAAATCAATTGGAAAAATACGTAAGTACTTGAAATTGCAAAGTCTGGTCTTCCTTGTGCTACAACAATCTCTTACAAGTTTGGGTAGTTGATAGCTAGCCAGGCACTAGCAGCCTGGTCCATATAATACATTTCGTCAACATCTGCTTTGATCTTTGGTGTGATCATTTCGGGGAAATGCCCATGTAAGAACAACAATATCTCAAACGTGTTATCCTTGCCAATCCATTCGCTGGTGGCCCCAGGAGTGTGTTCGGGATACTGACGGTGCAACCAGTTCAAAACTGCGAGATGACCTTCGCCCATGGCATTTGTGATCGCATCGGCAGAACAGCCTTCCGGTCTGTTTGCATGTAGCCATTTGATCACATGCAAATGGCCATCCCGAGCAGCTTCATCCATCGCTGTTTTGGTGCACCCCTCGCTCCTATTAGCGTGAAGCCATTTTACTATCTCAAGATGGCCATTTCCTGCTGCTCTGTCCATAGCTTCTGTAGTGCATCCCTCGGATCTATTGGCATGAAGCCACTTTACCACATCGAAATGGCCATACCAAGCAGCATCGTCCATAGCCTTCTTAGTGCAACCTTCAGATCTGTTGGCGTGAAGCCACTGGATCATTTCCAGATGACCGCCATGCGCCGCTCTGTTCATCGCCTCCTGCGTTATATTTGAGGGATGACTTGATAGCAACCACTTGAACATATCCACTCGACCAGTACCAGCAGCTAAATCCATCGCATCCCGAGACAAAGACCACCACGCAGCCACCTGATGAGCTTGATTCTCTACATTCTGTGTAACACTCAACTCGTGGAAAAGCTTCAAAATATTGAACCGCTCGTGTTTCACGGCGGTATCAATGATCATGCCACCTTGCTGGCTGATATTAGAAAACGGGACGTGCTCGACCATCCACTTTACTGCATGGTAGCGATCATTCACAACTGCAGTATTCAGTGCTGCGGCATAATCTGCGACGATCCTACGGTCTCCAAGTTCGTCAGCAGCGCCTTGATTTACAAAGGGGAAATGGACTAGAACCACTTGCTGCATGAGATCGAAACGTCCGAACCGGGCCAAGATCTGGATAGCCGAGTGGGCAAGACCTTGGTCTCGCTGAATATACCCACAATCCAGCAACATTTCGACCAGCTTCACACTACGGAAAGTAGAGGCGTAGTCCAACAAACACTTACCTTTAGGCATCAAGATTTGGGCGACTTCATCATTCTCACCCAACAGAGAAGACCCGATAAACTGTTCAGTGTCATAAACGGGCATGTTTTCATGGAGATACCGCACAACTTCCGGGTTACCCTCCTGCACCGCAATCCTCATCATTGAGCCCACATCCCAGTGAGCCAAATGACGAGTTTTGCTTGACTCCATCTCTTCAGCCGTAATTTCGCCATCATTTGCCCCCACTTTCCTCTTCATCTTACTCCTGATGTACTCTCCTTCGTGACCAACAACATTGGCCAGTAGGAATTTTAGTACTGGCAAGCTACCCGCTCTGGTAGCAGCATCGGCGACATCTTCGGGCACTTCAAGACCGGAAAAGTGAGAGAATACCCACTGGACTACCGCTAAATCCTTACGGTTCACGGCAGCAATGAGAGACTCGACAAACTGGTCGCGATTGTAGTGTGGATCGGAACGCAGATAGTTGTGTACAGACCATGTCGACAGTCGACTAGCTACAGATGTGCAGCTTGAGTTCCAGATCCAGTCCAGGAGCTTGGTGGAGCCGAAGGAACACGCTTGACTGAGAGATAAACACGATGGCGGACCCAAGAAGCTGGAGATATGTGTGGAGATGTCTTGGAAAGCGCCAGGGTGTCGTTGTCGCTGCAGCACCGCAGCAACACTTGCCAAGGACATTATCTTCGTCTGGTGCAAGCTTGGATGAGTTCTGAACATCAATGGTATAATCTAATTAGGTTATGTAATCTAATGCCTCACAGAATTATTGTTTTTGAAGCAATTAGGTGCCACTAATGGCTCACTACAACCAAGGCAGAGTCACACACTCGTGGCTTGCAGGAAGGCCTTGCTTGAGGGTAAATGTGAGAATGAATTAAATGTTATATCTTGCTACGTGCACTAGAATTTGCTTCATAGTAGTCTCCATCTTTCATACTGCTTCTCCATCACTCTACTCACTAAAGTCTGGAGATTTTTCCTTACAGCAACTCCGAGGATTTCTCCTCGCAAGTCTCCTCGTGCACGTTGGCGTGTCAAGAGTACAGTATAAGCAGCTAAAATGGATTCTACTTCGTTTACGACGCTTCCATCTTTCAAGGAAGTCTTATCGGTGACCTTGGCAAGTTGGAAGGAACACGTTATGTTTCCACAGGAAAATGTAATAACCTGCAGACCTTTCACGTTCAGCTGACCAGCAATCCAGGCACAGCCACGTCGCGTGCCAACCAAAGCCAGCAAACCAGTTGAAACAGCGGCAGCGCTTCCATTGTGTAGCGGTGTTCCTTCACAATTGGTTTCTTGTCAACTTGGGATGACTCAAAACGAACAGAATGCTCAGCCTCAGTAGTTGACGTACGCTGACTCTCGACTGGAGTAAGCGATACCTTAGTGTACTTCTTCTTCGATGCTGCGTCCTCGTTAGAAGCAGGGCCTTCGTATCGCCATCATATTTCTCCGCGTATCACCATCCAAGCTAGGTCCAGGATCGCCGATTATGGCATGAATATGAATGGACAACAGAGTGAGCACATTAATAACGCTATGAAAGTTGGTGAGGCGCTCAACATCAATAATGTAGTTACGTGCAAAGCGAGCAGCTTCTCCGCTCGAGTTAAGCGTCCTGTCTTGCCCCGCAAAACCCGAACGCCCCCCGACTCAAAATCGGGGCTGTGGACGATGTTGGCTCTCGGTCCTGCATAAATTCCACCGATTAGTTACTCTTCCAAACGCAAATGCATAGCGTTGAGAGGTATCCCACCGAGATAAGTAGCGTATTGCGGCTTGACGGCAACCAGGCCGTCGAACCACTCACGAACATCGAGTAGGTTAGCTTCTGTACCCTGAAGAGATTTGATATTGACTCAACATTTTTTTTGAGCTCTTTCAGCAGAGAACGCAGCCGCCGATTACAGGCCGGTGCTGGGAGAAGATCCGAGATGTCTTCGTCTTCGTCATCCAAGTGCTCTAATAAGGCAAAGTATCGATGAAGCATCGAAAACGTTGAGCTCCATCTCGTGTCCAGCCGAATTACCGATCCCAAAGCCGGAAGCGATGCCTCGCTCCACCGCCCGAGCCACACCATCCATCGTGGCTCGCAGCGTCTCAACCAGGGCAGGATATATACTAGGTCACTGACGACTTTGGTCACGCCATAATCATTGACTTTGGTCGCGTGACCAATCCAGCTGATCACGTATTAGCGCGTGTCCTAATAAACGTTGATCACGCATGAAAAG